TTCCCCCCCCCCCCCAATTTGCTGTATATGTGCTGTATTGATTACTGTTTTCTAAATTATTCACTGCTCATAATCAACGCGTTATGCCAACAATACCACTCTGTTAATCAAAATTAATCTCATTACAAAAGACACAAACTGGCTGCCCACAGCAAGCTGCCGAAAGCCTGGGCTTGACTGGCACGAGTTACCTTTTTATTTACTGACCAACCAAACGGCTCATCTACTGCTTTATTAAATGGCTTTATTCCCCATCCCAGTCGTGTTGATGAACAGAACACGTCAGAGATCGTCCCCTTTCACTCCATTCCCTGCCTCAAAAAAAGAAATGAGATGACATGGATTTTTTTTCCCCCGTGCTCTGGGAACCTTCCAAGGCTCCGGGACACACCAACCGCCAGCAGCGAGTTCCCAGATTAAGGAATTATTTCAAAATGCGGTTTGGACCCCAAACGGGAGGGTGTGACTGAGCATCCCCGCGGGCTCTCCCCGGAGGGTGTCCCCCCCCTCGGCACGGGGCTCAGCAGCCCCTGCCAAACCACAGCCTGAAAGCTGTTCTCCAGGAACTTTTAAACCCTTACTTTACATTCTTTGCTACCGATTTTTGTCGTTCCTCCCTCCCTTGACAAGCACAGCTGGTTTCCCTTCCCTTCCAAGCCCTGTTCGCCCTGGAGCACTTGGCCAAGCCTTCTGAAGCTGTTCCCAGTTATGAACATGGTTATGCTGGGGTTGTTTTCCCAGCTGAAGCTGGGTTCAGCTTTTTGGGACAGTTTCCTCTGAAGAGTGTTTGTCAGATGCTGATGTGCACCTCCCTTACACGAAAAAACGCAATCGAGCCATGATCATTGACACCTCAATAGTGACTCACCGTGGCCCTGGGCAGTTCCTCTTTATGGCTGAGTTCTACCAAGATCAGTCACTTCTCACTCTGGGCAACTGGGGGAAAGTCAGGTGCTACTTTTCTTTTTTTTTTCCCTCCTTTTTTTAAAGTTTTATTTCAGTGCTACCACTTACATAGAAAACCCCAAAGGTCTTATATCACTGATATAAAATCCCCAGTAGGTCTATTTAGTCCTATCTTCATTTTATTTTCATGCCATTTAGTGTTTGATATCGATCACCTACGTACATCCCACAACACAACGCTTTTGCCTTCCCCACTCCTGGTGGAGCTGAGGGCTGGAGCTCCCTCATCCCTTCACAAATTAACCAGTCCCAGCAAAAGAGAGAGAGAAAACCATCACTATTGGCAACCTGTGTCAGCAGTGAAACCCTGGCTCGTCGCAGCTGGGTCACAGCTCCGCTGCTGTCAGGGTTTTCAGGAGCTGCACTTGGGCAATTACATGTTCTTGTATTTTTTTATAAAGCATTACATCCTAAATGTCTGATTTTCTCTTGTGAACGTTAGTGTGTTTCAACGAGGAAGCAGCGTAGGGAGAAATCTAAAGAAAAGTGTGAATGGATCACAGAGTCAAAGAACGGTTGGGGTTGGAAGGGACCTCTGGAGACCATCTCCTCCAACCCCCTGCCAGAGCAGGTCCACCCAGAGCAGGTCCCACAGGAACGTGTCCAGGTGGGTTTTGAATGTCTCCAGAGAAGGAGACTCCACCACCTCCCTGGGCAGCCTCTTCCAGGGCTCTGCCATGTTCAAAATGAAGAAGTTCCTTCTCATGTTTAGATGGAAATTCTTACATTCAAGTTTGTGCCTGTTCCCTCTTATCCTGTCCCTGGGCACCACTGAAAAAAGACTGGCCCCATTCTCCTGACACCCACCCTTTCAGTATTTATAGGCGTTGATCAGATGCCCCCGCAACCTTCTCTTCTCCAGACTAAAGAGACCCAAGTCCCTCAGCCTCTCCTCAGCAGAGAGATGCTCCAGGCCCCTCATCCTCTCTGTAGCCTCTGCTGCACCAAACCAGAATGTGAAGTCAATGCTGCCAGCAACGAGCCGAGCCCTGCTGCTGCTAATGCCAGGAAACATCAACTGCAACTACCTCTGTTTAACATCGTTCTGTTTCTATAATTGTAATCTACAATAAATGAGAAATCAGAGTCTGATCCAACACGGCGATGGGCAAAAAGTTAGATGGATCAGTACATTGAAACGGTAACAGGTACAAGTGGAACACACGGCCAGGCCTTAATTGCACAGAAATGCACTCCCTATCTCTTTTCTCATTAACAAGGTATTTTTAACAAAATCTTTCCAATAACTTTTGAGAGAAACACACAGTTCCAGCATTGCAACTTCATCCCTCTAACCCAAACCAGCATCCTTTCCACCAGCCCGTGCCAGAGCCAAACGTGGGCACGGACACCTCTCTTTGTGCCATCGACCGAGCGCAGGAAGAGGAGCAAACAGCTACTCACACGATGTGTGCAAGGTCCAGGGGCTTCTCTGGCTGCTCGGGGAACACGGGCCGAGGAGGTTCCCTGCTCGGGACACAACCCAGGGATTTACTGATCGCGTGGCTCAGCTTCTTTGCAGGTGATTTCTGGTTTGGGAAAGAAGGAGAAAGATGAGTTGGCCATGGTGAAGAGCAGGGTATCGTGGGCTGGCAGACAACACAGAAGAGGAAAAAATGCATAGTAGCAGACTATTCGGAAACATCCACTTACAAAATCCCATAGCTGGGAAAGTAGTACAGCAGCTAGCACAGGTGAACACGTTCTGAGGGGTTTTTGGTGATAAAATATTGAAAAATGAAGTAGTTTAACAAAAGTATGTAAGAGCAAGAAACGATCCAATTCTCTGGTGTTTCTATCAGGCATTAAATCAAGGGGCAATCACATGCAATTAAGTATTCACAAGGTCTCCAGAACACGAGGGCTGTATTTGGAGGGAAGAATGACAGGAACTGGGGCAGGAGCAGGTTGATAACCATCCCCATCCACCCCAACTGGGAGGAAGCTGGGCAGGAGCAGGTTGATAACCATCCCCATCCACCCCAACTGGGAGGAAGCTGGGCAGGAGCAGGTTGATAACCATCCCCATCCACCCCAACTGGGAGGAAGCTGGGCAGGAGCAGGTTGATAACCATCCCCATCCACCCCAACTGGGAGGAAGCTGGGCAGGAGCAGGTTGATAACCATCCCCATCCACCCCAACTGGGAGGAAGCTGGGCAGGAGCAGGTTGATAACCATCCCCATCCACCCCAACTGGGAGGAAGCTGGGCAGGAGCAGGTTGATAACCATCCCCATCCACCCAAGCAGGAGGAAGCCAGGGCAGGAGCAGGAGGGAGCCACCACCACGGTTACCCACAGAGCCCCATTCCTCATCCTGGCTACTCAAGTTCAGCAGTGGCAGCGCTCAAACACAGTCTTCATGACCCAAACTGGTGTCTACCTACCAACAAGCACATCTGGGCTCTCCAGGCTCCAGAGAAAGTGCAAAAGTGAAATAAGCACTTCTAATAAATACTTCTGAGAGGCTGGAGTGTTTGTTCTCTTTTGTAACAGCAGGAGCTGAAGGAGCCCCCGTGCACTGTGTGCTCCTCAGGTACCTGACCTTCCACTTGGGGGGCCACAAGGTGAGGTCAAAATATCATTTCCTACCAACCACTGAATCACTCTGGCTATGGCCCTCAGCTTCCAGAACCCAACAGAAACCAAACACTCAGGTTCAGTTATTTCAGTCAATGTACCACCAGCACGTCACTCAAGGACTGGAACCACATATGTATTTATTAAACAAACCTCTTTCTATCCAACTTAGTGATAAACAAAGCACGAACAACTTATAGCTTATATAGCGATGCCTGCATAAGTGTGCAACTAGTCTATAAATACATTTTATGAATAGTCTATAAACAGATTTTATAAATAAAAGTTATTTTAAGCACTAAGAACAACCACTGAAGTGAGGTTTCCTGGAGCCCCGGCCGCCTCTGGAGAGGTCCCTTCCCACCCATTCTGTGATTCTATGATCTGCCTCATTTTACTGTTATTTCTTGTAATATCACAAGCTGCACAAGACACCAACACCAAGTAAGGCAGCGTTATCCCCCTTCTACACTGAAAATTGGTAAAGAAGCAAAAAAAAGATTCTGAAATTCAGTGCAGAGAGAAGTTTCCTTCTTCTCCAGCAGCAGCACTGTGTGAGCAGCCAGGTGGGCTCAGCAGAAGCACCAGGGCGATGGGAGGGAGCTCAGGGCACGGGAGAACCGGTGGGTGAGGGCATCGTGCCTCTGGTGGGAAACCCACCCTGGGAGAGGAGCTTCTCCTGGGGGAAGAGGAGCCCCGGGGATGATGAGGGAGCCCACGCAGAGATGGCAACATGACAGGGACTCAGAGTCCGTGATTTCATACTGTGACCCCTCTTGGCTCATTTCTGGGGGACTGAACACAAACCCACTCAAAAATTTCTCACACCTTCAAGGTGGATTAAATGGGAAATTAAATGAACCAGAAATGTAAGAGATGTAATTCTGAGAGCAAAAATCTTATTAACAGCTACTTCGGGTATCGCCAGCCTGTAACTGGGTAGATAAAGGGCCCGTCTGGTGTTTTGGATTCGATTAGTCCCCGGCGTAATGACTTCCCAGTGGAAGCCGGAGATGGGATCGCTGTAGAAACAGCTACACGTGTGTTGGGCTTGTGGGTACCTCCTCCAAAGCCACCACCTTGGGGCGGTTATAAATAACAAACATTCTGTTATTTATAGCAGGAAGAACGTTCCAACTCAACCGCAGTTGATAACAAGCCACCAAAACTCATTCCCCAGGCTACCCCTGCAGGTAACTCGGCTCTTCTGACGTCTCACCCAACGCTCAGGGATGACGGAGACCCCTGAGGTTCAGCCGACCGAAAAAATAAACAAACAGAACCAACACTGACTAATCCGCAGGCTTTCCAAATGAACAATCAGATTTTCAGTTCTGCTGCGTGTGCATAACTTGATGAATCGTTGTTTAAGGCTATTTAATAAAAGCAAAATTGAAATAGGCCGGAAGGAAGAATTTGGAAAGCGTTTGAAGTTCCTCCCCCCAACAGGCCCCAACAAGCAGCGTGTTCCTGCAGCAAAGCCGCTTTCAAGAAAAGGTTTCTACCTGAACTTACATATATATACACATATAAAAATCACTGTAGTAATATATATGTTTATATATAAAAATCACTATAGTATGTGATTTCTAGTATCAAAAAAATATCAAAGGCACTTCAGAACTCCAGGAAAAAGAACCCTATGAAAATACTCACTATTAATGCTTATTCTGGGTCCCAGGGCTCCAAAACTCTGAAAACATACCATACACGACTGAACTAGACTTGGCTGGACCGCCAGGAATGACAAATTTCTTTTCCTATTGTATGAGAGAAGGAGCCAATCTCTGCAGGTGTGATCAGTGGGAATGAGGACACTATTGATGAGTACACACATGGGTAGGTCAGGCCATTCCAGAGCTGAGCAGGACCAAAACCTTATGATGCACATTTTGTGGTTGCATTGTTCTGCCCGGACCCCAACCTACAGCACTTCCCCAAGGGTCTGGCATCGCTGAGGGGTGTTCAGCTCCCCCAGCCATGGATCCTCCATGGAGCTTTGGAGGTGCCACCTCAGAACTTCCCAATTGTCTGCACTCAACTGCATTGTTTTGAAAACATAATTGATCCAGAATAGACACCTTTAAATTAAGTCACTTTGCTGGATGTTCTTCACCTTTTGAGGTCTGGCTTTCCCCCCTTTACCAGCCGTACTCATCATCCAGCAGGTGATGGCAGAAGGGTCCCACTGAAGACTGACGTGACAAAGACCCTTCAGATGCCCTGACATCCACAACTGACTGTCTGCCATTGAACTAGCAACACAGCCCACATCCAAAAGTATGGTCTATTTTTTAAAAATTAAGAAAGACTCACTTTTAATTTTCATAAAATTAACACACAAGACTTGCAAAAGTTAAAATAGATTAAAAGAAAAAAACATTTAAGAGACCTCTCATAAAAGATCCCTCATCCCTGCCCAGTCACAGCAGACACCCCAGTCTGTAGTACTTTACATGTCCCTGAATTTCTTGGTTCATTTAAAACACTTTGTAGCTTAAAAAAAACCAGCAAATTGTTAGAAAGACTCAGATATAAGTTTCTTGAGCAAGAGCCAGAAATACTGCTACAAACTACAGGAACATAAATGTGTCCTGTGATTGCCTTATTGTTTACTGAAATCCTTCAAACTTCTCCATTTTGGTCCTTGATTTCCATCTTTTGTCTCTGCCTCACCTTCAGACGACCCTTCGCCTCTTAAAGTCACCCTTCTGTGATTTGGATTCTGACAATGCTGAACAAGAGAAATGTAAAAATCTAGCCTCTTTCAAGGTTCCCAACTATTATTTTCTTTTCTAGCTATTTTCTTTCAGACATTCTGTCAATTCATTCTGTAAAAACTCTGTTTCCCGATACTGTTTCCAGCAATCTTCTGCTCCCAGATCTGTCCACTGTTGAGTGTTCCTTCTGTACGCCCAATTCCCTCCTCTCCTTCCACTGAAGGAAATGGTTCCAGAGCCACTGCCTGGGTCCTGGGGCCAGATGATCTGCATTCTTGCTCTGTCAATCGAGGTGGCTGCACCCAGGTTGTCTGGCAGACCTGGTTCCTCACGGTTCCTCCTGGTTCCTTGTGGTTCCTCACAGTTCCTCACTCCTAAACCTTTCCCTGGCAGAGCACCGTTTGGACTCTGCTCAATCCAGGGATCGCTCCCACATTCCCATGGCTTGGACCCCGCGACAACCGCGCTGTTGTGGTTCCCAGAAGAGCCATCAATTTCCATTTTCCTGTTTCCCTTCCCATTTCCTGCTCCTCCAATTCACGTTACACCTTAAATCCGACGTGTTCTGCCCAGCCCGGTAGGAACCAAAGGGCTGAGAGCGAGCCCTGCGCCGAGTGGGGGTGACAGACCCACGGCAGAGGGGCAGGGTCTGACCCGACCCACAGCTCAGGGACCTCGGGGGCAAACAGAGCTGCTGTTTTATAACAGATCTACGGCTTTACATTAAAAGAGGCAGGCTGGATTTGTAGATACTTAAGGGGATAATAATCCACGGGTAGCTCGGATTAAACATGCCAGAAGTTTATTACCCACATGGTTAAAAAAGGGCAATATTTAAGACCAAATTTTCCTCTCTTTGCCTTCCAGCTACTGACTGGTATTAAACCCCAACTTTCCAAATTAAACAGTAATACTATAATGACTCTTCTTCAAGAAGATAATTACTAATTATAAGCCAATCATCATTTGAACTTCTTTCTGAATAAGCAAAAAGTTTGGCTTAATATTTTGCTATAAAATAGGGGTTTTATATCTAAAATTACCTATTACTTCTTGAGATGTGATTATCATACAGTCATCTGAGTGCTAGTTCTCATAATTTCTTTAAGGCTTTGTATATAAGAGTTTTCAGTGCACATATTCACAGTTGTCAGGACAATGACCATACTAAATCCTTCTCTTAAAGAAATACTGTCTTTAAAGATGCCACTCGGATAAAGTCCCTCTGTGGGCACAGCACTCACGCCAGCTGGTTCACCTTTTGGGGAGCCCAGGTATCGCAACCTTTAGGCCTTTTTAAGCTTGAAGAGAGGAAAATACGGGAAAAGTAGGACTGATGTGGAGAGGGGAAGAAAACACACTTGTTAAGGCTGAAGGGCTGTGCTGCCTTGTGTGCTTTAAACAGCAATGATGACCATCAATGAATTAACAACATGATTGTAATAAAACCAGTACAATTCACCTATTTATATGCTTTTGCTATTTGGAAACCTTTAAAAGCCCTGCTGTGCCATTCTACTATAAAAACTGTTAACTTTCAGAGCAAACGAGCAGAGAGGGGGTGTTTCAGCGGGACAGAGAGGGCAGTTACCCAGGAGGAATGCTCCTTCATCTGGTGCTGGTTGCTGTGGGGGCCGTTGGCGTGTCCGCGCCAGAAGCAGTTTTGGCAGAGCTGGTAGTTGTGGCACTGCTGGCACCGGTACCGGAACCCCATCATGCTCTCACAGCGGCAGTACGAGCACTCCACGGGATGGAAGACTTGGGGGAGATGGGAAAAGAGGGGGAAAAAACAAACAAACAAACAAGAAAAAAACAGTAATGAGCAGACTTCAGGAAAACCTTGACTGTCAAGTTTCACTGGAGCTTCCAACCCCCGCCCCCAGGTTTGTAACCACTAAACCAGCGTGTTATCCTGGGCAGGTCGTGGATTTCGAGTGCAGAGCAGGCAATTTCAGTAAGATCAACCGTAAATTTAAGTTGATGGTAACCCAGCAGTTCCATCTGAGAAGTTCAGTATTTCTGCTTCCGATTTCTCCCTTCTCTGATGCACTCAGACCCCCAGGTCTCCATGGAAGTCCAACACCAGGTGAGTGGGCAGGGAGTGCAGAAAGGCTTTGCTCACCCCGGGTAACTCCTGCCCGAGGAGATCATTGCCCTGGGGTCAGCTGAGAAGGGACAAACACAGAGCCCCACCATGGGCTTCTGCTCTGCATCTCCTCTCACCGAGGACCTTCCCTTGCTCTTCCCCAATCATGAGCTGCCTCTGGTACCCTACAGCTTGGGCTGGAGAGATCCCCAACACACCTCCACATCCTAACATCGTGAGAACTGGACAACTAATGTGGTGTGACACGCAGGAGCAGGCGAGAAAATAAACAGAGAAATGCTTCTTCCCTGTTCCTCCACCCGTGAACAAACAGTCACAGACTCGCTCCATCGAAGAGATAAGTCTTTGGAACAAACAAAAGAGGAGGGGAACGAGGGGAAGGAGATCTCTCACTGTGGGAAACACATCTCAGAAGGTGAGGGACGGGAAACGGAACGGAGGGATGAGGGTGAGTTACAGGAGCAAAGGGTTTAGCATCACTGTGGGTCGGAGTGTAAGTAATTAGAGGCTGGTATAAATAACTGCATAAATAAATAACTGTATAAAGAACAGGAAAGCAGCAGCTCACTGGCCAGCCAGCTGACATCCTGAGATATGTCTGTTATCAACGACTGAAAGATGGGAGAGAAATCATTAGAAAGAGCCTGAAGTTTTGGTCTATGATAAAAATTATGCCTTAGCTGTTCCAATGAGAGTTGAGCAATTCTGCAGAGGGCAATGACACTCCTGCAGAGTCACGGCCTCTGAGGGAAGGTTTGCCCCGTGAATCAGAGGTGCCTGATGCCCCCAGAGTGGATGCACAAGTAGGAACTCTTAAAAACACACGGGGAACAGCTAAAGCAAAGACACCCTGAGCATTGACCCAGTGGGGAACGCTGTGGGTAATTAAGCCCAGATGATCAGGCGGATGATGCTTTATTGCAGCACAAATCAACGCTGCATAAAGCAAGGACTTGATGGTGGCAAGGGATCTCCACACACAAACACCCAGTGGGAATGGACCGCAGAGGAACTCGTGACTTGGTTTTTTTAACACAAAAAGTAGAGAAAGCAACGAAAAGAAAGACTTCTAGATTTGTGTCAAACAGTGGAAAAGAACTGGTGGAAAAAGATGACAAGTGACCTGAAGTCAATGTGCCAACAGAGCCATGTTGTGAGTTTTAGGCAGCGGAGGAGAGAGAACTTCAGTGCAGCACGTTTCAGCAAACTCACAGAATGAGGAGATAAGGGACAGGAAGAAACAATTCAACAGGAAAACTGAGTTCGAAGAACTGTCGGCTCCTTAAAGAAATGACACTACAGAAACCAGCACAAACTCTGTTGGTGCAGAGGAAAGAGCAGACTGTAGTAAAAGACCAATTTGGCTGAAATTAAGGGTTCCTCAACAATTTAAAATTCCAAAGGAAGCCTACAGAAGCAAAATCCAGGGCAAATTATTAACGAGGGTTAAAAGAATAATTCAAATATTCAAAGTCAGAAGAACAGAGCAAGGGAAAACTAGCAGGGGATTTAAAAGAGACATTACAAGAATTGCAATTACGATCCTTAAAAGGGTGTGAAATTATGCATATGTAACTACTGACTTCTCATGTTGTTTTAACTTGTAGAATACATACGGGAACAAATAATACAGCAAAGTACCATATGCATCTGAAGAAGAACAGAGAAATGAGCCGTGGAAGACATTTGCCAAATCAACATAGTGTCTTTCCATGACGGAGTAATTGACCTTGAAAATAGGAAACAGGCATCAAATGTCATCAATTTTTCATTTAACTGCAGCGCTCCTTACAACATCAGTCTCCCGTGAGAGCCTCGTGACACAGGAGATGAAAGGACTGGAACCTGGATGGGAGGGGAGATACAGAGGAGATGAAAGGACTGGAACCTGGATGGGAGTCCCACCGGGAAAAGACCAGAGAGCAGCTAATTGTCAAAGTGGAAAGATCTAATAAGCAAAGGGCTTTATTCCAGCTCACACACTGGTTAATATTTCTCATATTGAATGATCATCAAAAATGTCCGATTTGGGGCATCGCATTTCAAGGAAGGGGCGGGTTAAAGAGGGAGAAAGTGACGGAGTTGTCTGGACACTGAGCAGACATCTCGGGCAGGAGAAGGTTTCAGCAAATGTGCAAGAGGTATTTACAAAAACAGCAACGCATTCTCCAGAGCCAGGGGCAAAAAACCCAGGTACTTAAGGGTTTAAACTGCAATAAGAAAAAAGCTCATGCCAGAATATTATTAAAAACACCAACTTTCTCACCCTGAGAATATTTAAACCGTGATCTCACCCCAGCTTCGAGTCCAAGGTGGTGTTGAAACTTTTTGATAGAGGATTTTGAGCAGCAGCGAGGTAAATCTCTTTCAAGAATGTCTGCATACATTCAAGTTTGCCTTTGGAAGGGAGATGGATGAAGCCACAGGTTCCCAAAGCCGCCGCAGGGAGAGGCAGCCACTGGTGCCAGCTCTGCCTCCTCTGCCCACACATCTCCCCTCTCCTCTGCATCCAGGAGAGATTCCTGCTGATGGGAAAGGGGGCAAAAGCGCTACAGGGTCCTGAATGAGGTCCCTTCCAACCCAAACCATTCCATCATTTTAGGAAAGGCAGAAATTCTCAACCCCTTTCAGAAATTATTGAAGCTATTTCGATCTTCTGGGAAAGTTAAGGATTTATTCGTGGCAGAAGGCGGGCAAAGCTCGAGTTGTAACACACGACCTGACCCAGGTGAACAATGCCATGGGGCATTTTTAACTGGGGAACTGCTAAACAGCAGCCACATTCTCCATATCATGCACCTTTGGGTTTTTTCAATAGCTGTATTTGTGGTAAGATACAATCCTTGCCCTGGAGAGTTGATGAGGTAGCAAAGTATTTCTACAAACGTTAATATAAGCTTACAATAACAGCCATGGCATGCTTAAAAGCCAGATTATTATTTTTTTTCCTATATTTTCCCTTTGTTACAGAAGGGAGAGGAAAAAAACCCCATAGCCTGAAGACTTCTTCCACTTGCATTTACAAAGGATCCCATTTCTACAAAAGCAGAACTAAAGGGATTAGAAGCCAGCACAAAAGCAGACAGTTATTACGCTCACATCAGCACGCAAATGGGGATGATGGCTCTGGGAAACAACGGCTGGGCCAGGGATTTAGATCAGTGCTCCCAATCCAGGAGTCTATGCCATGCCTTGAGAAAGAAAACGTGTCATTTTTTTACCTGTAAATGTTATTTTGCCAATAAAACAAGCTCGGTTCAGAGCTTAATTGCCTTTTGCTTATATTGGAGTTGAAAAGACAACCAAGAAATTGCAGGATTATTGTTTTTTGGGGTTCTTTTTTGTTTTGTTTTGTTTTTTAAAGGTGTCAACCAAAGTGTTCAAGTGCCTCTGAAGTAACTCTGCAAGGACTGCCAGAGTAATTAACGAGAATATTTACAAGCTGTGGAGGAGACAAACATCTGGTTGGGAGGGAAGTCGAGGGAACAAAAGCTCGAGGCTCTGACAAGTGCAATCCAAAGAAAAATAACTTGGGGGGAAATCACCAGGTGAGCGCGGAAGAAGCCGACTGCTAATGACTGGAGAGGAGTTCAAGGTGGGGGAAGCAAAGCACAGACTCAAAGGATGGGTCTTTACAGGTTGAGCCCGTGTTTATCAGACAAACATTGTTCACAGCCTGGTGGTGGAGGAGGAGAACTTCAGGGAATGGTTTAATGGGGTTTCCATTGCAATCAGAGTGAGAATCACAAAATCCTGAAGGGCTGAGGCTGGAAAGGGCCCTGGAGCTGCTCAAGCAGGGCCATCCCCAGCCACTGCTCAGGACCCTGTCCCATCAGGTCCTGACTATCTCCAGGGATGGAGACCCCGCAACCTGGGCAACCTGATGGGTTTGACCACCTTCACCATAAAAGAATTTCTTCTTACGTTTAAAGAAAATTTCCTGTATTTCCATTTGTGCCTGTTGCCTTAAGGGCCCAAATCAACATCTGAAGCTTAAGCCCCTTTAGTCCTTGTGCAGCACCAGGACACTACTCCAGGGCTTTGTCTGGGCCCCTCGTGCCTCAGGCTGCAGCTCCAAGATGGCCACAGGGAGATGGTTTTGCCTATGTTCTGGGAAAGCTTTCCATTGCAAGGAGGCAGGCATTCCTGTGACCTCCTACAACCATTCCTTTCAACAAAATGTAAGGTTTACAACAAAAGTACAGGTTTGCAGGGACAAGAGGATGAAGGAAAAGGCAAGAAGTCGCTGCTGGTTTTCTGTTAGAGCACCCTGTCACCCGGGGGTGGGAGGGACACTGCAGGTCATCTCGTATTTTAACTAGGTCAACTTCCCCTCCTTTTTTAAAGTTTTCCCATAAGATTTGTCTCCATGAAATTGCTCCCCTCAAAATCCTCCTTAGAAATTTTTTTTTTTTTTTTTGATGAAACTGGCAGGAAACCTGTGGAAACAGACAGAGCAACGGGGAGATTCAGCCCTCCTCTGCTGCAAGGAAGAAAGGGCCCATCAAGCATCTCGGCTCCAGCCTTGTCCAGAGCTGAGCAAATGCAGATTAAATTCACAGCCAGCTGCGCTCTGCAAGAGGCTCAAGAGAAGGCCACGCAACAAATGCCAAGACACAGCCCTTCAAAGTCACACTGGGTGACGTGACAATCACAGGAATAAAGGTCAAGAAACAGTGGATGGAATATAAATCATGGAAACTGGGCTGGAGACAGCCTGGGAACAGCCAAGGGAAACCCAGAGTTTGTCCCCCTGCCCCTCGAAAGGAAGAAGTCCCTGCACCCTGAAATGACCATAAGTGCATTAAGCAGAAGAGGAGATGCCAACTAGTGGGGTGGGGGTTTGGAGGATGATAACATGATTATACCGTGGTGAAGGAAACAAAAGATGAAGTTTAGTTTATGGGTGAAGAAAAAAAAAAAAAAAAGGAGGGCTGTTTTTTTTTCCCTAGAATTCACATACAACAAGTCACATACATATACTGTCTGCAGCTGTAAAAGAAATCAAGCACACCATCTTTTTGGCCTCTAAAACCAACAGATAGTTTCAATATGCTTTCACAGCCTTCTGCAGGAAACCTCTTTGCTCCCTGAACTCCCCCAAGCCCCTCAGCCAAATGACCTGCCAGTAAACCCAGGACATTTTAGTTAAATAAAGGTCTGGAGGTAAGAGAGCTCAATGTTTCCCTCCCATAGCGAGGGCTGGTGACTCACGTGCTCAAGTGCTGCTCAAGACAGTCATTTGAAGGGACACCAAACCTTCTGGAGCTCACACTTGAAAGAGCATGTTAAAGCATAGTTCAAGTGAAGTTTTTTAATAACGTTTCAGAATAAACATGAACATTTAGAGAATATTGGTTTTCTGCTGCTTGTTTTTCCGTCGTTTGCTACTAATGATGCTAGAACTCTAAAAGTGATCTCATTTTGCAGTGCTGCTGCTGATTTCAGAAAGAATCAGTCTCCATCCCAGCAGCGTTAGAGTGTAACACAAGTCTGGCCTGAAATGCTCTGGGGGTGAGACAGTGGAAAGGATGAAGGCACGAAGCGCCTCGTTACGTGCACATTCACAGCTGGTGAACAGAACCCCTGCTCCGACCAGATGTCTCACACAGGAAAATACTCCATTTACCATTTTCAACATGGGCGAGTCTGTGCATGAGAGGCAGCCACACAAGGCACTGAGGAGGCGGATCAGCCATCAATGTGTCTAAAAACATGTTTAGCATGATCTTTTTCTGCAAAGAAAAGAGAAAATACAACTTGATTATATGAAAAATTTCAATTTTCTATACCGAAAACTACTTCAGCCTCAAAATCTCCCTATGAGTCAATTTCTGTCTAGCAGGAATATTTCCTGTGCTATAAAGAGATAAAAATCACAGCTTTGCTCAGGGAGTTTCAGTCTGTATCAGGCAAATAGTAACACCACAACGAAGGTATTAGTAGAGACACAATATAACGATACAAAAATAAATGATAAACAGATGAACAGAAAACTCCCAGAAATGGAAGAGAGGACTGGCTCCTGAGCTGCAGCTAAATATTCTTATTTTGAAGAGGGATACAGCACTGTGAGCAGAGGTTATTTAACAGTGCAGAAAACAGCATTTCAAACAGACAGACAGCACTGAAAATAGCAGACACACATAAAAGTAATTACAACTAATACTCATACACGATGCACACAGTATGTGACCTTTTTTTAAAGGAATAATAATAATAATAAAAAAAAAGGAGGCAAGGGGAGAACTAGATGGGGAGCACAGAGTCACCCCCCCGGAGGGAGTGTGGAGCCGGAGGAGAAGCCAGCTGCAGCTCCATCAGAGCACACTCCCACCACCCCTTACACACAAGCCCACCCTGTCCTTAATAAATACATCCTCATTACTCGCTTTAACAAGACGTGCAGCTTGACCCTACAGAAGCCAAGGGCCCAGGACCCCGAAGGGAACGTCTCAGCTCAGCAGAAATGCTGCAATTAAGCCGCTCTGTAATTGAGACACAAAAGGGACCCACCACGGCAACGAGAGGACAGGCTGGGCCAGAAGGACAGATTCTGACCGAGGCAGAGCACATCATGGTGATGCAGTGTCTTCATGACAAACATTCAGACTGTGGTCAGGTGACTGTATGTCTGAAGAGAAGTATGACATGATACCTTACATCTGTGGAAGCCCCCCCTTGCCCTAGAATACTAAAGTATTACTGGAAGCTCTTTCCACATCTGGAAGCCATCACATGGAATGCAGCTCTCGCCAAAAACATCCCAATAAACTCCATCTTGCATGGGCAACAAGTCTGAATTATTCCATCTGCGACCCACGGAGTGAAGGGAACACAGCCACTGACACTGCCCTGTCACCACTCGGAGAGAGTAAATGATGAGCCTCTTGCACCTCCAAGAAGAGGCTCCCAGAACCAGGACCTCCATGAGCAGCCAGGAGCCACAGCTGGCCAGGAAGGCTTTGTCTCTTGGCAGTTTAAGTAACACCAGGGGACGTTCCTGGCACTAAAACTCAATCCTGGATGCTTTTATATTGTTAAACCCGTGCCGGGTTCAACCGCTCACTCTCCCAGATGATTCCAACACCCCGATCAGGTGTTAACATCAGCTCAGAATAATTTTCAATAAACTGTTTCCATGTAACCACCCTGCTTGAGGGAATAAGACAGTTTAATCTCCTGGATGTGGTTGGACTCTTCCAGTTGGCCTCAGGAGCCCAGCACAGCTCACGGCACCGTTGAGCTCACCAGAACAGATGTAGCTCACGTGTCCCTCATGTAAACCCCAACGTCTGACACCCCACAGCTTCACCAACGCCATCCGGAGAGGATTTCAGCAAAAAGATGGGCTGTAAACAGGAGAATACCATGGAAATACCTCTGGAAAGCTTATTTTCAAATCTGGGAGGCATAAGAAAATGAACTGAAATCTCAGACAGATTATCCTTCTTCTCCCCAGGACCTGTTGGTTTAATGTCTTCAAATAAATGAATTAACTGTCTTGGGGTACAGGGTGTATCTGGATTAATTAAAAAAAACAAACAGCCAAACATATTACCGCTCTCCACAAACTTGGCCTTTCACTAGGGACTGTGTTTTGCTGAATAAAACCAGAGCAAAGGAACTGCTAAAAGTGAATCAATAGGAAGAATTAAACCGCTGTGTGCACGGGAGCCAAAGTCAGGGGCTACGAGATGCTGCAGGGGATCATGCACATCACAGAATCATACAATTGTCTGGGTTGGAAGGGACCTTTCAGATCATGGAGTCCAACCATCAACCCACCACTGACCCATGTCCCTCAGCACCACATCTGCCCAGCTTTTAGATACCTCCAGGGGTGGTGACTCCACCACTGCCCTGGGCAGCCTCTGCCAAGGCTTGCTCTGTCCTCAGGAGCAGATGAGCTGGAGCCCTCCTTGCTTCCTAAATCAAAGCCTAAATCAAAGGCTGTTTCCTACTGTGTTGTATTTCAAATACACTAATTGCTAATTAACTTAGACTTAGTAAAAGTGACTATGAATTCTAAACCTCAATACTTCAGAAATTTCTTCCAGAACATAATCATTACCAGCGTCTGCACATTTCATTTCAGGCCTAAGATTATCTAGGTTGATATTCACAGTTGAATTAAGGATTATTTACACTATTGACATTATGTCAAATTAGAAACAAATCCTTAGAACAATTAAATTACACCTAATATGTAAAAAGCTCTTTTAAGACCATTACTGCAACATCTACTCCAAACAGCAGACATAATGGAAATATTTTGGAAACACCAGCTACAGCAATAAACACAACAGTGAAAGGGATTTAAAAACAAACTCTGTGTGCTTTGTACAGACCAAGCAACCAGCGAGTGATTTGGTGAAACTAAGTCTCTTAACACACTGAGAAAGCTTAAAAAAAAAAAAAAAAGAATAAAGGGAAAATAGTGAAAATGCTGTGTTTCATGTTCTAGAAAAGAAACAGGTCATCCTTGCTGTTCTTCTGATGGGGAACAGTGTCCCTTCCAGGAGGGGAAACAAACTAAAATTGTGCAAAATCCTTTAATTGCCTAAGACCTAGACCTACTATATTAAATTACTCAGATTTTCTTACAACTGCTAAGGTTATAGAGTGTACAGTACTGACCCCCCTCCCTCCAGCCCCACACGAACTACCCCCCAGCAGGCAGCAGAAGAAAGCACTGCATTCACAAGCAGTTAATAACCAAAATCCTGGTTTGTTCTCTCTTACTTGTTGTGGGAAACAGGTCCGTACGGAGTGCTCCGTGTACCCGAAGGAAGGCCCCTCAAACACCGCCGTTGGAAGCTTTAGAACTTCTTTCAAAAACTGATCGAACTTGGTAAATATCATTAGTCCGTTTGAATCTGATATTTGAGAGAAAATATCTGTAAGAAAAATACAATAAAACCCCACAGTAAGTACATGCTTTACAGAAAAAAAAAAATATATATTTCAAGCCATTTAAACCCTGAGAAATTTCTTTTTTTGTTTGTTTTATTCTGAACATAATTTCTTTCTGGTGTCCCCCCAGGCAAACAGCACACCGGGTCTCTGACAGACTGGCAGGGTCAGAGCACTCTGCACAGGGAGATTTCTGACAAGAACACTAATATTAGTAAGACCTAAAACTTTCCAAGATGTGACAGGCACCAGAATTCTATGAGGTTATTGAGGACACCATCAGCAATTAAACATCAAACAGGATATGTTGACAGAAAATAAGCTTAATTTCAGTGATCAAAACTAGGTCTGTAAAAGAAAAGAGGAAAAAAAAAAAAGACTATTTCAGAACGGCTTATTTCTAGTAAACTAGAGAAATTATTCCATTCTCCTGAACGAGCAGGCACATGAAGAAGCCTACAATAGGTGGGGGTGATAAGGCTGTCTGGAATTTGTAGCACTGGCTAAAGGGACAAGCTTCAAGTGAAGTCTGAAGTCCTTGTTCAATAATCTTACAAGGCACATTAGGAATAACAGGGGGAGAAAATTTAACCTGAAAGTTGAATGTGGAAGAAAAGTCAGGATCAAAACCATAGAATCACAGAATGGTTTGGGTGGGAAGGGAGCTTAAAGCCCCCCCAGTGCCACCCCCTGCCCTGGGCAGGGACACCTCCCACCAGCCCAGGTTGCTCCAAGCCCCCTCCAACCTGCCCTTGAACCCCTCCAGGGACAGGGACACATCCCTGAAAGCTGTGGGAACAACTAAAACTAATTAAAGAGCCCAACTTCCAGAATCCAAATCCGTTCCAGATCAGCACCAGCTCCAGAACCAGCAGCTGCAGGAGAACTGAAGGTCTGGTAATGAACCTGTCAGGGTGGGACTGGGGGAGCACGACTGGAACATGACAGTACTTGTATTTAAAAGAGGACAGAAATCTTCTGGGTAAATACAGTCTATTAATCTGAGCTCAACAGTACGCAAGATTGAAAGGATTTTAAGGAGAAAGTTAATTAAAGCTATAGAAATAGATTGAGAATGAGGTAAAATAGAACAGGCTCTATCAAGGGTAAATTAAAAAAAACCCAACCCACAAGCAAACCCAAACCCCACTAACCTATATCTTACAGTCATTAAAAATTGCTTTTATAGCCCAAGTAAAGTTGAACTCATTTACTCAGAGAACTTCCACATGGGAAATTACCAGTGAAATTAGAAAAGATACAGATTAGGAGAATATAATTATAAAGTCATCTGCCCTTTTAAAGGACAGCAAATTACCCTCAATGAGAAAAGCCCCAGCGAGCCAGGGGCTAAGAGTGTCACCTCTCCAGAGCTCACCTCAGGGTCACAACAGGCACGTGCCAACAGCTTCCCCACAGCAAGGTATTATATTTTAATTCACATATAAAATTTCAGGTCAACGCCACTGTGCTATAAACATGTATTTTTAAAACAGAGAGAATCACAAATTTAGAACTAGAGAAAGCACTGAAAACACTCCATTTGCTCACATTTTCAGAATAAAAAAAAATGAGCCTGTTCATGTGTAAGTACAGAGACCAAGCTACTGTCAGCCATATAAAATACGAGGTGAGGAGAAAAAAAATACTGACAGTCTCCTGGATTTGCAGAAAGGCTGGTGTTCCAGCCCAGACTGGGCTGGGAGCGGAGTCAGGGCAACAAGTAAACTGGGACCAGAAGAAGTTGGGTGATGAAATGGGTCAGTCAGCAGAGAGACAGGTGGGAAAGGCAGGAACGGGAAGAACACCAGACAGCACATCCATAACCACCAGGAGAAGCCGTGAAGAGCAGGAGAACAGCTGAGGTGGGTGAGATCAAAAGCCCATTTCTCCCCAGAGCAGATGGCTCAGGAAAACACCTTCCCCACAACGTTCCTCTGATCAGTGCCTTCAGTGCCATCGGTTCAGGGAGTAATCGAGTGCTGGAAATGTTTGACACCGTCAACAGCCTTTGGTAAATTTTAAAGAAGTGCTGGTTCTTGTTGTTTCCAGCTATCACTGCTCATTTCAGTCACCAACAGATAAAAAAAATGGTGTTTTCCCGGTACGGAAACACGCGCAGCCTAAATATTAACATGTGCATGTGATGATTTCTCACTATATTTTTCAGACCTTGTCATGAAGTTTAGTTCAGCACACTAGTATTTCACATTGTTATACGTGCTTTAAAACTAGCAAAGAAGCTTAACTGATGTAGAGGAGTCTGAAGACAGGGAACGAGAGCCATGGAGATTAGGAGGAATGGATTATTACCAGATAACTGTCATAAAGGAAATTTAGGGTGAGGTGTGAACAGTAAAGTCTGACAGTGACAGTGAGATGAACTTCACAGCTCTGCAGGGTGGAAATGAAAAGAGAAAACACCCACAACAACTGTTCACGTGGCTGCTAAGAGAGAGAGAAGAACAAGAACTACCACTAAAGGACAAACCCAGTGTTTATGGGCATCACCGATTCTCTACTGCTACAGCAGAGGGCTCCCGAAACAAGGGAAAAAGGAAGTAAGATCGATGAAAAGAGAATAGAGTTAAAAAAGTAAGAACTGAGAAGCTGGAAATGCAGAATGAGCTGCTGCAGAGAGCACCTCAGAGGATGCAGGAGATACACAGAACCCCCCGACACCCCTAGAGCAGGGGAAACGGCAGGCCTCAAGTTCTACATGTGAAGAAGTGCCCAGGCATTTCAGAATCACCAGATGTCCCTGCAAACCCTCCCGAGACCAGGCTCAGTGTGGTCCATGGCCAGCAGATGGCACGCACCACAAACACATGAGCAGAGCAGGCTTCATTTCGGTGTACAGATTGCTGAACAAGCAGAAAAGCCACCTTCCAGAAATTCAAACAATAAACCATCCCTGGTCAGTCACGGAAATAAAATATTTCATCAAGTGGCTCGATTCGCTTGAAAATACTCACATCTTAATTTGTCCAGTATTTTGCCACCACACATGGTTGCTAACATCGCTTTCACCGAAAACACCGTCAGCTTCCCGTGGCCCTCGCTGCAAAAAAACATGACCTGGTAAGTAATTACTGCATAAAAGGGAAAGTAACAACAAAACTCCAGGCCGAGGAAGGAAATATACAAAAGCCCTCCGTTAACTACTAGGATCTGTCACAAAAGTATTTAATATAACGTGAAGACAGTGACAACAGCAGCATTTCTAATACATTGGAAGAGTTAACAAGTGTCTAATCACAAATTAAATTTTCTTTCAGAATTATGAAAAATGCACGGATAAAGGGACTGCCATTTGTCTTGCTCACCCCATAACTGTCCCATAAAAAAGTAACACATGAATTTTTTTTCCATTAAAATACATTTGTTCACTGTAAAACATCTCAGGGAAGGAAATGCACAAAAGCCCTCTGTTAACTACTAGGATCTGCCAGAAGTATTTAATATAACACGAAGACAGTGACAACAGCAGCATTTCTAATACATTGGAAGAGTTAACAAGTGTCTAATCACAAATTAAATTTTCTTTCAGAATTATGAAAAATGCACGGATAAAGGGACTGCCATTTGTCTTGCTCACCCCATAACTGTCCCATAAAAAAGTAACACATGAATTTTTTTTCCATTAAAATACATTTGTTCACTGTAAAACATCTCAGTTTTTCCTCTGCTACCCTTTGTTATTTGTTTTAAATTTTTAGTCCTTGATTTAAACTCTGATGCTCAAACACACATTTTATTTTAAGAACAGTACAATAATTGACAGCTAATGGAGAAGTCATATGATATCCTGAATATACCACATAGAACAGGGATAATGTCAACAGGGTGTTATTCTAATTTAAGTTAATAAGGCTGCTGTGCTCTCAGAACAGATGGCACACTTGGGGAACCATTTTCCAGTATCAGCAAGAGAAAATTAATTGGTCTCTATGGAAAGTATGAAAAAAAACCATTTATAGCGGTATGGTGTGTATGAACAGTGACGTGAGTTACTCCTGGGGGAAGGGAGAGAGAAAGGGAAGTGTGAAATTACGCAGGAATTAAGTCACCAGACGCACAGAAGGCAGCTGGGTTAAAGCACAGCCCAGTTGGTACCAGTAACAGTTTGCATCCTGCCTCCTGAATTCCTCTGATTTCATAGTAAGGACGAGCGGTCAGAGAACCTCCAACAGAGGACACTAAGGCAGCTGCAGCGTGGAGGGCTCGGTGTAAACCCCCTGGTGCCATGAAGCTGGTTCAGGGGTGTGTGGGGCAAAAGAAACGTGTGTCACCGGGGTAAAAGTGTTGGAATTCCCAGCAGCTTACACTGAGTAGTTACCCTCAGCTCTACACAGCAACAGTGGGAGAGACCCGTAACCCAGTGAGAAAGTTAAAGGAGAAAAAGAACTGAAATAAGTTCATGTAACTGTAATTACATGTATTGGACAGCTAATGTGTACTGTCACCAAAAATACAATGACGGGGAAAATACGATGAGTGTTGGAAGAGACCTAGAAAAACTCCAGACTTCTCAGTGGGAAGGAGATGTGTATTTAGCACGTGTGCTTGGAAAGTGTTAAGAGCAGAATTAGTCGAAGCAAACATTGGCTCCTGGCACTGAAGCAGTGACGAGGTCTGACATCAGTGGCACTGAAGCAGTGACAAGGTCTGACGTTGGCCACCGACAGCAGCGAGATGGAGACATCAGAAGAGCCACTTCACATAAGGAGACCTACCATGGTAAGGTAATGGCTCTCAACCTCTCTCAGGCTGAGAAATAAACATACTGTTTCTCCAACACAGACTCTGGTATATCCTTCTGATATTCCCTCTGCAGAAGAGGGGGGTCTTTGCTAGAGCCACACCGCAGGGAGGTCTGTGTGGAGGAACGGCGACTCGAGGGCCATGGCTGTTGACATCCAGTGGCCTTTTAACCACTGTTTGAAGAAACTACACAAAGGGAGAAAACTAAACATGTTATATATTTATCAGGAATGGAGCAGAACCACTTGAGAGAGGCACCCCAGAGCTTTCTGCAGCACGCTGATCCATGGGCATCTCCTCCCACGTACACACACCTCCCTGCCAGCTCTGCCGGGCTGATGAGGAGGTTTCTTCCTCATCACATCACTCCACACTGGGCTTGTCAGCTCCCCTCCTCACTCGTTTGTTGGGCATCCTCTCCCTCCACCTCACTGCACACTGCTCTGTTACCAGCACGCAGTCTGGCTTCATAATTATGATTTAAAAGTATTTGGAGCAACTAAACCCACTGTCAAATCAAATGTGATTTCTAGAAATGATGAAAGAAAAACCTGACTGCTCTGAAAGAGCCAAATGGAGTCAGAAAGGGTCCCTTACTCTGGGGTGCCAGAAATGGGTGGGGGGCTTTGGGAAGCCACGGGAGGCGATGATCGGGAAAACCAAACCAGGAATAAACTGCCAAAAACTCTCCATGGGAGAGCAGTGGAGAACATGGCACCACCGCCCTTCCTCCTCACAGCTCAGCCCTGGTGCAGAAGCGATGGCTCACACTGTGTCAGCAGAGCCACAGGAGCACTGCTCACACCCAACACCAGCTCCCACCTGAATCCTCCGACGGGAGCACACTGGGAAATGTTTGATTCCTCTACCTGGTTAATATTAATGACTTTGTGATTGCCCCCCCCAGCCCCTCATTGCACGAAGCTATTCCAGTGCACACACTGCTACCCCAGGGATGCCACTCCAGCTCAAAGGTGTACTTTTTGAATAAATAAATAAAAAAATAAATGTCTGCTATGTTGATGAACTCCGGGAGAGGGAGCCTCAGCCCCTCTGCTCTTACTCTTGGCTCTCCCGGTGCAGGAGGCAGCACAGCATCCCAGCTTCCCTCTCCATCCCGGGAAGCAGAAGAGAAGCTGATGTTCCTTGCTGGGATGGAGTGTGCTGCTCAGGTCCCAGGGGAGGCAGCTCTTGCAGGGCTGGGGGCAGCGGGGGAGAAAAACGCATCTGGAACTAAAGCCTCAATCTTCTGAGCCAGCTCCCCAAAATGTGACTATTTCTATTTTTAAATTCTATATTTTCTAGTGTGATCCATCCTGGAATAACTAACCCCATCAGCTAACCCTTACAGCTGTCTCACAACCAATACCAAATGGGAGCTAAACAGAAAACTGCCCATCTGACTCTGCTGTCACAGCACTGTCCCTGCTCTGAGCTGGTTTCATCTATCCTTAGTGATCCAGAGATTGTTCTGAACTCTTGCACTTTTTTGGGGGTAACCTAGCTTCCGTCTGGTGACAGTGATCCTTTGCTAACGTGATGAGCCTTAAAAGTCTGGATATTATGAACAGGATGACTGTTTGGCACATTCAGTGCTGCAGATTGTCTTGGGTATAACAACTCAGTCCCCATGAGGGTGTCCTGGCCACGAGCAGTTCTCTGCTGCTGGGAGAGAGGGCAAGAGCAGAAGGAAGGTAAGACTGACATAAAAGCTGACACTGCGAAAGAGAAGACAAAAAGAAGTGCTAAACAGGAGTGGAAGACTTGCAGTTGCTACTCGAGAACCCCTGGAGACACATCTACTCAAGAAGATTAACAGACCGAACCCCAAAGAAAGAGGCTGCGAAAAACTCAAACTGGAGATGGGGAAATGCCCAAAGAGTGCTCTGAGCAAGAAATCAAACCTCCTCCAGCTGGAAAGGAGAAGCAGCCTCTGTTCTCCCAGCACGTTAGGATGGGACAAGCTGGCTGTCAGACCCGGGCAGCACTAGGAAACGGTCTCGTTGATGGAGGTTCAGTAAAACACTTTGGCTTTTTGAAGCAGTGCTATGCCACCCTCACCATCATGTTGTGTGTCTCACAGCCTGCACAACAGCTTCTCTTCATTCAGACACACGGTTACAGCAGTCTGCAGCTTCCAAAGGCACCAACCACCTTAAGAGAGCAATTTTTCAGACAAAGCTTTGCTGCTGCAGCAATGTACATCTCTGCAGGCACTACTGCTATTAAATATACGTGTGTGTGCAACGCATAGTCTCACAACCTCAAGAAACAGCATGCGGACAGCTTGGCAGAGGCTCATGCAGTTGCTGGCTGCTTTTATCTAACGAGAAGAGAAAATTAGTTTAAGAAGACAAGTGGAGGAGTTACTAGCCTGTCGTATGCCGCTATCATGAAGTTGAGGAGGAGGCTGATGGATTGCTCTACACTGATTTGGTGAGTAGAAGGAAGGCGTTTGTTTAGCTGGTAGTAGATGGATGAAATGATTGTTTCTAGTCGAGACACGTTGATCTCTGTGTTATGATCCAAAGTGTTAAGGCCATTATCTCGGAAGGCTTCAATCATATTCCAGATATCAACAAGATGAACTAAAAACAAAGGAAACAAAATTAACTTCTATTGTGTAAGGCATGCAAGCTCACCTTTATGGTTCTGCTTCCGAATACTATGTTAGCGTTTATTTTGGAATGAACAGTTACTTAATTTGTATTGCAAGTGAGAGAGAGAGACTCTTGATATTCACACCCACCGCTGGTGTCAGCTTGGTTAAGGTAACAGAGCAGCACCCAGACATCTCGAGCACCTTTTATTCCCCCCTTCAAGGCCCGGGTGCTCTGGCAGGAAAACCTCACAGAGGAGAGAAGGGAACTTCCATCACCGTGCAGCGTGTTCCAGCAGGGGTAGATATTTCCATTTGAGAAGGACGTCAGCCATATTCTAAACCCTCTACCAATGGGTTTACAATCATTTTGAACATCCTGCTGACTAGGAGTTGAGTATTGAGGGAGGAACTTGCTGTTCCAGTTAAACTGTGACTGGTTCCAGTTGCTCCAGTGAGCCCAGAGCATAGTGCTTTGTAAACACAGGTCTGGAACTCCAAAGCCTTTCCCCGAATTCCCTGCTGTATCTGAGTGCATATCTAAGAAGTGTTAACAATATAGAGAAAAAGCTTTCCAAAACCACAGCCAGTGATCTGCAGAACCACATTAAATAATATCATTAAATGTTTCAAAGCTTGAAAAGTATGTGTGAGAGCGGGAGGAGACATCTCGGGATCAATGGTAACCCATCAGGCCAAACAGAACGTGCTCCAACAGTTACAAAGGACAGGCTTATTTGCTGACTTCACAACTTTTGTTATCTTCCTTAAAATATTTAAAAAAAGCTCTGAAGTAAGAGTGTCAGCTGTAAAATTTCTTATGTAAAACTCTTCTTTCTCTCTCACACAAAATCACACACCAGTGAAAGCCGAGGTACCTGTTCACACCAAGCGTGTGCCCCGGGATCACCGTGTGGTCCAGACAGAGATCACTAATTTACTAATTGGATTCTCTTCTGTGACTCTATAACTCTGTGCAATGCACAGCCCGAGCTCTGCACACACGTAGGGGAAGGCTGCTCCAGGCACACGCGTGGCATCACTCCTCTGGGCCCAAAGTGCACAGTGTACTATCATTAGCATCGCTTCACCTCTCTCTACTGATTAAACGAGGTTTTTAATTCAAGAGTATGAATTGCAGAGCAGAACTAACACTCTTCCACAGGACTGACAAGGCTGTAAGCCATCTGGCAAAGTAAATGCCCTCCAGGTGCTGCCACAGGAGCCAGGCACACGGAACCACAGAATGGGCTGGGTTGGAAGGGACCTTAAGGATCATCCAGTTCCAACCCCCTGCCCCAGGAGGAGCTATGCCCTGCAGTTGTACATGTCCTCTGCAGGGCTCCCCCGCTCTGCTCCTGTCCCCTGCCACACCAGACACACACCAGTCCCACTTTTAGGAACCTACTCCTGCCTACACTGCTCTGTTCCGCTCTCTGCTCCCTCCAGCTCAACACCGGCAGCAGAACCTTCTCCCCCATGGGTTCACCTCAGCTTTGGAGAGCTGTCTCAGGCCAGAGGGCCACGGATGGGCAGGAGAAAGCTCCTACTGAGTATATGGTATGGACTCACAGGATTCATTACTGCTGCTACACTTCATGTAGACCACCATGATCCGATCCAGGCACTTCCATGCCAGTGACTGTACTGGGCATCTCCAAGCTCTCAGCTGGTTTGGTGGGCACCACGATGGAACAGGAGCTTGAGGAGCTCGAGACTGCCTGCATCCCCCACCCTTAGGGCAACTGAAATACGACAAGCTGGCCCATATATTTTAAATTCTAGAAACATTAAAGAATAAATCTGAAGATATTCTAGAGTATTGGACCAAGATCAGTACCTCTTTTTAATTAAATATTTCATCTCTGCTTAGCTTAAGTAACAACTAGCATTGTCTGACAAAAAGTTTGCTCACTCTTGCTATGCTTAAAATTCACATGGGTAGAATATTCGAAACAATCATGCAGGAAAAATTTTTGAAGATAAAGAGTAATTATAACTTACGATTACATCTTTTTTGTACAAACCGGAGCTTACAGGCTGTTCGATACGTTGAAAGTCTGATGACATCAAAATTCTGTGCTCCTATGAATAAAAAAAAGTTGGTGTTTTTCTTTCCTCTATAACATTCGGCTTATCAGAGAGTTACTGCAAAAATGGCAGGAGTGTTTCTCCACATGAGTCATCTTTGTCACACGAACACGACAGAGATCTTCATTCGGTATCTCATGGTGAAGCGATTTTCAGTGCTGGGTTATAAACTGACCTGCGTTTGAGATTGAGATGAGCACTTTAAGAGGAAGCAAGAATAAAGTGGTGAATGGGTATGGAAGAGGATTCCCCTGGTGTTGGAAGACATGTACACAAAAGCTGAGACAAAGAAGAGCGGGGGTTGGAACTCCTACCACCAGCCATATCACAGCACCATCAGGATCCTGCTTTTGGCCTCCCAAACAGGTCCAAATCAGGTCAGAAGGAGAAGAAAAAGCATAGAAGAAAAAAAATCCTATCTTCAACAGCTTCCTCCTTCAAGATGTGTGTTATCATAGAGTCATGGAATCACAGGATGGTTTGGGTGGGAAGGGACTATTCCCAAGGACTATTTTTTTTTTTTTTTTTTTTTTTTTTTATTTCTCTTCATCATGAGGTGAAAAGACTCAGTAAGACCTGTCAGGAGGCTGATCTCCCAGTCCAAGGTTCCCCATGACTAAGACAAGCCAACACCTGGGGAGTGTTCTGCCCAACAGAATGGTACAACAAACGCCGGTGGATTATTTCACACTACCATCTTTAGAAAACTAGGCTCTCCTCTATTTCAGGAAAGTGCGTGGCCATGTAACGTAAACTGGAGTGTTCAGATCCAAGGCTACAACAAAAATAGGTAATTTTGTATTTTCTATGCACTATTCTTTGAAACCTCTCAATTAGGGTGTCCATGCCCCTGTGTCTCAAGCCACAGAAAGCGCTTCCACAGACCCTGAGTCTTCACAAAATGCTATGTCTGCATAAAATATATGTATATAAAGTTATATAAAACATATGTGTGTATATATACACACACAGAAAAGGTCATTTAACCACTACATGCGAAAACAAAAACTTGTCCATTTTCAGTTCTTGTCCTCCTGTGTCCCATTGCCACAAAAGCTTCAACAAGGTTGTTCTTCCAAGCCACCCGAAGAGAAACAGAAGGCATTTCCCAGAGAGTCCCTGCAGCTCAGACCCGCAGCCCTCACAGGAAAAGGGCTTTTTCTCACATTCAGATGGAATTTTCTGTTTCAGTTTGAGCCCACAGCCTCGCACCCTGCCACTGGGCTGAGAAAAGTCTGGCTCCATCTTCTATATACCCTTCCAGAATATAAATCCCGAATGTGTTCCCACTGGGTGCATCTCCCTGGAGCTGGGGACAGGCCTGAGGGACGGGGTGCCATCCAGAGGGACCTGGACAGGCTGGAGGAGTGGGTCCCTGCACCTCTCATGGGGTTCAACTGCATCTCCACACTCCAGCAAACGTGTGTTGTCATTGATCAACACACAACGGTTGGTCAACCCAATGGTTCCCTCCCGTAGGGAAGGAAAATAACATGATGCCATGCAAACATACAGTCCTTTACCTCTAACCACACAAATCTTTTAAAAAGGTTACACCTCAGTCCTTAAAGTTATATTATCTCCAGAGAGGCATTTGATTTCTAGTAACAATTATGGCTTCTCCTTCAGAGAATTGTCTTATACTAAAACACAACCCAAGACCCCTCAAACTACTTCTCTTTGGAGTCATACCAGCATTGTGCTGCCATTACATATACATGTACTTTTACTTTTTTTTTTTTTAAATAAAGGGTGATCTGTATGTTGTCATTATTTATTTTGTCCACAAACTTCAGACATTGTCATATATGGAAATATATGGAAAATGTGAATGTTCCTTAAGACAGGTTCCTTCACAGAACCTAGAAATGAATGACCTTCTGGGGGGCTGTGACCCCCCTGCTGCCCCCTCCTCCCAACCAGCACCCAGGATGCTTCTCACTGGAGGAAGCAACGCTCTCGTGGAAACGAGATGTAAATGATGTGGGAAAGCTCTCAGAGCAATGCTCTCGGTGAAGAACAAATGACATTATGCCTTCAGATTTGTTACTTACTCATTTCCATGAACAGCTGCCTCTTCTCTGCCATCGTCCTCCTCCTCTTCCCACTCTCCTCAATCATCCTGGGGACAAAAAGTGGCAAACACTGTTTGTGTGAGAATTTCTGTTACAAGAGCAACTCGCAGCGAACAACATTATTTTATCCCTCAGTTGAAACAGTTTGATTTTATTTGGTAAATGGAAAGCCCGGTGTAAAGACTGACACCTCCACAGCAGAGAGGCACACTGCAACTAGAGTCTGTGGAACTCAGAGCTGCATACACACACACAGCAACGTCCTGGAAAGAATTCCTTTCTGCTCAAAAAGGTTTTGTTCGGAAAACACAAAGGAACACCTCTCCATGAGCAGCTGAGCCCCATGGAACTGCGTGTCTGTCCAAAAAGAGAAAGCAGATCCCATTTTTCCCACTCCTCTTCCCCGCCTGGGGTTTGGGGGGGATGTCAGGTTTGAGGGTGAGGGTTGTCTTTAAAAAAAACTTGTAAGAATTCATTTCACTTTGAAACCTCATGTCCGAGTTCAAGCCTTATTTGTCAGAGAGGTAAAGGTCTTAAATATGATTCAGGTGGAAGGAAAAAAAACCCCACAAACGTCTAGTTTGGTCCCACTGGCCCCCATTTCTAGGAAAACAGATTGAAGAAGTGACAAATATAATGGAGCTTATAACAAGGTGGGGGGCAGGGGACAGTGCCCCTTCCAGCTCACTGCCCTCTCTGCTCCTAAAGACAGAAGCCATCTCTCGCTCAAATCCAGTGAAAAAAAAGAAAGCAACTAAATTCAGTATTAGTGTAAAATTTCACTTAAAATTACTATATTATATTGTTCTTTCATTAACAGATTCACCAACTAATTTAATATATTTCTTAAATGTCTAAAAAGAAAAAAAAAAAGGCCTAAATACCCAAAAATTATTGCCCAGTGACCCAGAAGCCAGCCGTGAGGGTGTTCCTCAGCCCCCTCTCAGCACGGCGGGACAGGCTGCACCAGCCTTAAATGTCAGCCCAGGGAAGTGGTGTCTTGGCACCTCACCCGCTCACTCATTAGCAGCTTCCCTCACAGCTCTGCCTGCTAATTGCTCTCTGGTGAAGATGTCACTACACACAGGGAAGCCACCAAAGCCTTTTTCTTCCCCTGTTCAGAAAAGGAGAAGCAGCGTACGGTGGTACAAAGTCATCTCCAAATATATTTTATTTCCTTATTCTTTTCTTGCTTTAGAAAAATCAAAGACTCCAACCAACATGCTTCTGGTGGGTTGTTTTTTTAAGGAAAAAACCTCACTGGCATTTTTGCAGACGTGTAAGAGTTTGGGTTTTTTTTCAGCTTTCTTAAATAAATTTATTTGATGAAATTAAAGGAATAAACGCAAACGGAGTGTCCAAAGCAGGCGTTCAAAGAGCCAGGCACTGGGAAACTGCCCACACAACTCATTTTGTTCCCCCCCAAGTCCAGCTTTCCCCATACCCCCCAAGCCCAAGAGGTTTTGGAACCAACTACTACTCTCTTTATTTCCTCATCATGTAAAACACGCACGTCATCCTGAAGAACACCAGTTACTGTATCATAATTAGCTTCATTTCAAGTGCTAGCACCTCTCTAAATTCCATGACAGATGGACTCCAAAGGGTAGTTATTTGATCTTTTAAATTGATTTGAGTAGAGACTATTTTAAAGACATAAGGGACAATACCACTTGAATCTGCTGCAACACCAAAAAAATAATCATGATGATATTAAATCTTCTAGTCCTTGGGTGCTCACCTTCCTCACTCCACCTTCCCACCCCCCTGCTCCCAACTCGACCCTATCTTTCTGCAAAGCTCAACCAGTCCCCAGGAAACATGTCTCACATGGGAGTGACCAGGTGGAGTCACACTACTTATTTCTTAGGGGTCACTGAAGATGCCTGGACCTCAGTCAGAGGACACTATCATCCCTAATTCTGCAGGGACCTCAGTCAGAGGACACTATCATCCCCAATTCACTGCTAAATAGGTCAGATTGACCAAGACACAGACTTTTAACATTTTAAAGGAGCCAGCATCACCTTTGGTGCTCTCTGCAAAGCAACTGAGTGAATTATCTCTTCAGCACTGTCCTTGAAACGAGATCTGAATGAGCAAACAGCTCTCTCCAGGATTCCAAAGTGCTGCCGGGACACACCAAGCCTCATCAACCCAGATTTCTCAGGCATGCTCTCAGGAAAATCACATCTAAGGAGTGTTGCCCCAGGACCTCCTCCAAGTGTTTTGACTTTCTTGAAGGGACCAAAAGATTTGGAGTTTTCCTCAGGTGAAAGCTCAGCCGTCACGTACCTGCTCCCCAAACCCGTCAAACCTCACCCTTCAGATTCACGGGCTCTCTCTGTGCTGGTTCTTCCCTGCTACCACCTGCGAGGGGGGAAACATCTAGGAAATGATCTTTCCGGGCCAGAGTTACATGTTTTAAGTATACATAGAGTGGAAAGAGAAGAGACAAACTGGCAGATATTTGGGGAAGTTGTGGAAATGACATTAGTCATATGAGCTCTATTGGAATAACTGACAAACCCGCTCTTAAAGCCTCAACAATCAGCTGCAGCAGGATCCCCTCGCTGCTGGGACCCCCCTCCTGCTGGAGGTGGGAAGAACCATGGAAAGTCTACATTCACCTTTGCACTTTAAACCCACCTCGAGTTCAAGCCAGGAAAGAACTACCACAGAATGAGTGCAATTATGCCAAGGATGCAAATTACAGCGCTCAGCACCAGAAAACAAGACGGGCTGCAGCGCCCAACACACAGAATGTTACTGGACTTGGACAAACCGAGAGATGAGAGGTGAGGGTCAAAATTGCTACAGGCAGTAGAAAAAACCCTAGCTTTTCCAAAATAAAGCAACTGAACTTAAGTTTTCTGCTATCCATGAAATATAATGCTAAAATGCATCGTGTTTTCCTGTAGCTTTGGGTACCTGTGACTACATCCTACCTGGAGGCACAAACCCTGCAAACATCCAACTTGCAGATGCAGAACCCATGCAGGCATCTATGGATTCAGAGGGAGTTTTAATAGAAAACTACCCTAAGTATTAATCAGACTTTTATAAAAGCAACAGTAAATGCTGTATCTTAGTGTATGTATTAGAAGGGGAATGGCTGAGCCTGAAAGGGCAATGTTAAATCCTAACTTCAGTGTCTCTTTAAGCACAGCCTTAAGCTCCATAAACAATCCCAGAAATGCCAGTTTTAGCTTTCTGTGGCTTTGGCCACAGCACAACGTGCTCCTCCATCCAGCCTGAGAGCCCTAATGCCAGGCAGAGCCACTGTTTGCCACAGACCCAGCCGAACAACTTCTTATTCCTTCCCTTTGGCTTCTGCTGCCTACCCTTCCAGTGCCTCGCAGGTAAAGTTCATCAAAAGAGCCTGTGCATGGAGATACAAAGACCCAAGATGAGTAGTGTTTAATTAAGGAATTTGCTTCCTTCCTTCCCCCGCTCTAAATCAGCACGAAACCTCAGAATAATGACATGGCACAGAACAGGAGTCTCACTCTCCAGCAGAGACACTCCAGCTTCCGAGAGCCAAGCGCCTTGAGATGCTGACAATCCCGCTCCCTACTTGTATTCAGCTAGAAATCAAACCCTCTGCATCGCATGGAGAGCTCTCAAAATATTTCTGCTCAGGTTCAGAGATGTTATGCTTTAATTATTGGGAAAAGGCTGGAATTTGCTTTAAAGGTCCAGGTTAAACGTGGAGCCCCAAGTGGTGTCTTCTCCCTGCTTCTGCACGGCTGAGACCCCTGAACTGCCCTTCCGCACGCTCCCAAATTCAAAGGGGTGGGGTTTTGTTTGCTTATTTTAAATAGAAACATGAAAATGACCATGCTGTGTCAGACCAAAAGTATGGTTCTTCATCAGCCTCTGCTTCTTTTAGACTCTTTACTGGCCGGTTAAATTCCATGTCCCCTCCTGCCCCCAGCCATTTCTGTCCGGGATGAGTCAGGACCAGCGTCTCTTTTCCTGGCGGGAGAACCTGGAGACTGGCTGTTCCTCGCACAGACACTGCCCAGGACTTATCCTCACCATCCTCTACCATCCCTTCTTCCCTCACCTGCTTTTGGAGATGTAGGAGAAACAGAGCAGAGTGTTCGCCTTCTTCCCACTTTCGGAGATGTAGGAGAAACAGAGCAGAGTGTTCAATACATGGACACACCGCTGTGCTACACAGCAGCAACACCACCACTCTTCTTGTCTTTTTTATTTTTTAAAGGACTCGTCATATTCTATTAGCTTTTTTATTTTTTGGACCATGACTGAGCATTTGTCCAATGCTTTCACAGAACTACTCTAAAGCATTGGGATGCCATTCCTGAGGGACAGTTTGGAGCCAAGGAGCAGATCTATAAACCTTGGACTATAGAGGACTACAAAACTCCTCTCCCAGCCCTTTATTTGCACAAGGCTACGTGCCTCCACGCTGGACAGTACCAGAGGAGCTGAAATCCATTGCTAACAGAGTCCTCCTCACCTGCTTCACAACTGGCTCCTGTTTTTAATGGGATTTCCTTCAGCAGCCACCCCGCTGGTCACCCCCTGGTGATCAGTCACTGCTGTTTATGTGACACAGTTATCCTGGGGACAGTGACACTATGAGGAACTCATCTCAGACTCTTTAGCTAGATTGGTTTTCTGATCCAAAACATAACCTGACTCTTAGAGTGGAGGGATGTTTTTCTCACCTCTACCCTGTTCTGAGGCTCTTGGTAGGATAATGTGTTTGTCTGGTTCTGTTCTCCTTTCCCTACCCCTGTGTTTCCAAATTAGAAATCTATAGAAATATAGATTAAAAAAAAATCTATATTGTGTAATATGAAAAATCCCAATTTTCTCTCTTGCTAAAGTCATGGTCAAAGTAAGCACTCACCATGGAACCCAAAAATCAGCAGTGTACAGATTGCTTCAAGAGCTGAGAGAGACTCGTGGAGTTTCAAAGCGTATAGACTTGGTGCACATGTAAGTACCTGAATCACAACACTGAAGTTTCATTTTTTTAGCTTTAATAACACTCAATTCAACCGAAGGCTGAAAC